CCTATATGTACCATGACCTGGACAACTCATGCTGAAAGAAACCAACATCAAAAGGCTGCCTATGGTGTGATTCCATTTATATGGCATTCTCAAAGAGACAAAAGAGTGATGGGAATTGATTAGGGGTTTCTGGGAACTGAAGATGGGTTGCAGATCAAAGAGAAAGCAAGAGAGTTTTGGAGGGAGATGAAATTGTTTTTGATATTAAATTACAGTTGTCTCCACACAATCATATATATTTTAAAACTTATAGAACCACATACCCCCAAAGTCAATTTTACTGTACTTTAATACACAAAAATAAAATATATATATAATGAAAGCCTGAATATTTGATGGTACGATCAGATGCTTACAGGAGTATATAGGTTGTGCCTCAGGATACATGGGGATGGAGCAGCTGTCCTGGGCTGAGTGAGTGCTAGCAGGAAGGGCTACTCCCTGGGAACCTGAGCAATAGTACAGCAGGTAGGGTGTTTGTCTTGCATGCGGCCAACCTGGGTTCGATCCCCGGCATCACACATGGTCTCCCAAGCACCGCCAGGAGTAATTTCTGAGTGCAGAGTCAGGAGTAACCCCTGAGCACTGCTGGGTGTGACCCAAAAAGCAGAGAGAGAGAGGGGGGGGGGGCGAGCGAGCTACTACACAGGTTGTCTGAAGTCAGTGCTGCCAATGGGCACTACTGACCCATGTTCTGTGCTGGAGTCTGACTGAGGTGACAGGAGGGGAGGCCTCAACCGCTCCTCTTCCAGCTCTCACTCTGGCCTGGTTCCATCCCTGAAGCTATGTGGGGGAAACTGGATCATTGTGGAGAGGCTCTGTGAAATCCTCCCACAGCCGTGGGCTGTTGATCCCACCCGACCCACAGATGATATTAGCAAACAACCAGAACCTTCCAAGCAGATGCCGCTTCTGGAATAACGTCCAGCATTTGAACTCCACTCATCTTCAAAATAAAAATGTAATGAAAATTTGTATTTTCTTAATGCTTAATTGCTCTAAGCATGTACAAGGATTCCTCAACCCCAAATTGTCAACACGTTCTCCACTTCTTCAGAAGCGGCATTTTCCTGTGATGATTTCTGTTGCTTCCTCCCCACACCCTTTGGGAAAGTAATCACACACTCTTACTTTTGTTTTTCCCTTCTCTAATTTAAACCATTTGTTCACTGTTGAAGATTTATGAGGCTGCCATCTGCCAGTTTACTTATTCATTTACGTATCACTGACAAAAAAAATAGCTTTAAAATAGTGAATTGACAGGTCAAAGCCACCAGCTATGAGGCGATGCTTCTTAATTTCATGAACAGCTGATAAGAGAATAAGCCCGAGGAGGTATCTCTAATTTTCTCTTCTGTCATATCAGTAAAGTCATTGATTGTTTCCCAATTATTACCTGATCTCATAAGAAAAGTATCAGACAAGACCACTGCAAAAAAAATAAATTAAACAAAAAGTCTGCATCTCTCTGACTTTCTCCAGTGCTCCTGTAGTCAGAGCCCTAAGTCTGTTTGCTTTTCTATCTCCTGCCCTAAATCTGTTTGCTTTTATCTATAAAAGTTGTATTGGAGAAAGATACAAAGATCCCATTCCCTAGTAGCCCACTATCTTTGAATGTAGTTATCCCATTCACTCCAAATGACTACAATGAGTAAATTTTATTTTGCCTTGTGAGCTGTGAACAGAACCCTGGCTACAGTCTCAAACAAGGATTTCAGTGACAATGGCAGAAAATTGGAGTCTTTAGACCTAAGATTAATTTTCATGTAATTTGTATGTTCTTGTTACACTACAGTTTTTTATATGCCTTTTGAACCACATCTCGCTATACTCAAGGCTTACTCCAGGCTCTGCGTTCAGAGATTGCTCCTGGTGAGGATCAGAGGACCATATAAGGTGACAGCGATGGAACCCATACCTGCCATATCCCATATCACTGGGGTAGCATAGATATCTTGTGGGTAGAAGTCAGGACTGCTGTTAATCTGTTTTGGTGCAAAGGAAACCTCTAACCTCAAAGAAAAAGCCAGTCCAGAAAGTTGGTAGATTCCTGTTTGAGAATCGATTGACAGTACAATTGATTGTACTGCTACTCAGGACAGTACAATTTCAGTAAGGGGGTGGCACTGCTGGCTATGGCCGTGCTACTTTGCCTTCAAACCACCTATCAGAAACTCCTGGTGGGACTGTGGGCTGCGCTTTGTACAGTGTGGATGCGTGCATCTGCTCACTCCCCTTGTACACCCCATATGAGCCCCAGGAACCCTCCGGAACAGCTTGGCCTGTAAAAATGGTATGTGCTATAGGCTCAGGTTTTAGAGCTCAGATTTCACTTGGACTCTTCCTGGCTTGTGAGTCAGGGCATGGACTGAAGCTTGAATTAACTCTTCATCAGCCTCCAGATAGGGAAACATCATGGTAGGTACCCCGTAAGTTTGGATGAACATCTGGGTAAAGTGCCTACCTGGAGCCTGGCCCAGAGAAAGAAACCTGGGAAAGTCAGGTTGAGGGCTCTGCCTAAATCCATCATCATTCCTTCCTGGATCAAAGGGGAATCAGCTGGAAACCAGTCTCGAAAGGGGGAAAAAAGTAATTTGATTCATGCTGAAATCGAAGTAACTTTGTGTCTCTGAACCGCTGCCCACCCAGGGAGATGTGCGTTTTTGGAAAGAACAAAGCCAGAGTCCAATGGAATCAATCACTTTAGTGGATTGTTAAGTTCTCATGAAAGGAGGGAAACCATTTCTGAAAGAGGGATTGTGGTTTCCCCGACTCCGCCTTCAATCAGGTTGGCCCTGGTGCACTGAAAACCTTTCTTCGGATGAATATGGGGGTTTTGCCATTTTAGAGGACTTGGTTAAGTATAGAGGATGGCCCAAATATACGTGGGGCCTATTGTGTTGTCTTAAATTCGGACACTTGGCTGACCTAGCTAGCAAGGACCCCTCAACCCACTCAGTGGCAAGCCAGTGCCCATTTCCCTTGCTCCTTTGGGGAGCCCATAATGAGGCTGCCTTACACTGAGGTCTAATGTTCTTCCTGCTGCCCACCAGCTGTCTCCATGTATCTTTCTGTATCTGCCTGTGGCCCTGTCAGACCCTTTCCTTATACCCCTGCTGTGGGCAACCATGGTTCCTCACTCTTAGGCTGTCTACCTGGACATGTTGGCTGGCTTTGCCTCTGGACCCAACTCCAGAGCTTGGGGCTTAACTGGCTCTCCAGCCTGGAGATAAAGGTTCTTGGAACAGGCTGTGTGTGCTTCTCAGGAGAGAGCTTTTTTAGCCTACATTGGTTTCCTGGCGCCGTCCTAACCAAGTGCTATAAACAAATCACTGAAATTGATTCTCACCCTGTCTGAGAGATTCAGTCTGCCCATAGGTCCACGTGCTCTGAGACTCTAGAGGACTCTCTCTTCTTGCCTCTTTGAAGCTTCTTTGGTTTTTTGGCACCTGGCAAATACTTTCATCAGATCTCATTTCACGGCACAGAGCATTCAGTTCTATATGTCTTCCTGGGCCTTTTCTGACTTCATGTGACACTGTCCTCTTTTTAGTCACATTTCCCTCTCTTTACCAGGACAGTAGCCTGGGAGAAGGCCAAAACCAGTATGACAAATTCTGAACTGGCTGATATTTGTAAAGACCCTTTCTCCAAATAAAACCATTGTTTGAGGTTCAGTGTGGGCAGGGGTTGGGGGGTGGACACTATTCCAATGACTACAGACATGTCAGAACAGAATTTTCCCTGTAGAGGGCTCTCTATTTGGGGGGGGGTTACACCTGGCGATGCTCAGGGGTTACTCCTGGCTCTGCACTCAGAATCACTCGTGGCAGTGCTCGGGGGACCATATGGGATGCTGGGTATCAAACCTGGGTGGGCTGCTGTGCAAGGCAAATGCCCTACACACTGTGCTATCACTCTCATTTATAAAACACAAAGGCAGACCTGGTTGGGTGGGTTCAGGTGCCACACAAACTCATCCCACCCCTCCTGCCATACTCAGGTCCACAAAATCATTTACAGTGGCCCAAATCTCTTCTTTCTTCAAGAGAGCGCTTTCCTTCTCTGCAGTCAGTCTTCTCTGGTCCCCCACTCTCAAGTCTGTCAGTGAGGCTGTGTGTGAAAGAACCTCCACATGGTTCATTTTAAAGGAAATGGAATTCCTTTCCAATAGAAGAGAGTGGATGCCAACCAGTGCCACAAACCTGTGTGCTCAGATCTCCATGCTGTCCCAGGGGGCTATCCTGCTCAGTTGTAGAAATCTGCAGGCTGAGCTATTAGCTCAAGTCTGCTCTCCATGATCAAAACATGAGACTAGACTTGCTACTAGCTGGCACCAGCCAACGGTGAAAAGAGAACAGAATCAGGGTGAGATCGTGGAACTCTGGATAGGCAGGTGAACCAGGGAGACTCTATAGCTGCACAAGTCATAGCCAACTGATCCGATCTCTCTCTCTCACATGATCATCATAATCAAATGCTAAAGAGTCAATGGGTGTGGGTTTGCTAGCTGATCAAATGAAACATTTGACGAAACAATGAGAGGTATCAAATGATACCTCTCCAGGTATCTCAGTGAGCACCAAGAGAGAAACAGTTGATTCGGTAGATGGGAGCACACATGGAAAACCCTACTTTTGGAATGCTTTGATCAATATATTTGGCGTGAAATGTCATGAGAAGCAACTGGGTCAGCAGCCCCTTGAGGGCAACATATTCTTCTGAGGGCAACATATTTTGAGAGATGGGTGAAGTGTGCTCAGATGGAAATCAGCAAATAAACCAGAGAGCAGAGATATTTGAGCTTCATACGCCAAACAAGGCTTCTTTCCCCATGGAAATTTTTTTTAAAAGGTGAGAATTATTAATATTATTCAGAGTCTGGCTGAGGTAGAAAAATGGCAAGCCACCCTGTGGAGAGAGTCATATTGGACACACTAATGTTTCACATATGTGAAATACTGGAAAACACAAATAATGATTGATAGAGCATCTCTTACCTCAATTCCTTCTTTGTTTAAGGCATATTCATCAAAATTCAAGATGGCAATCTTGATGGTCCTCGGAGGAGGCAGGACTGTGAGCCCGATGTTAATAGCATTGCTCCTCTTGGAGTCCAGCACGATGATCTCTTGCCTTTTTCCATCTGCAGCAGTTTTCTTGGTGATAAAAAATAAAGAGTCCAAGATCAATGCATCATCTTTGGTTCTTTCTGTATTTCGTGATTGAAAGCAAACTCACTACTTATTTAGAGAGAAAAACAAATGGCCTGGATTCAACTCGGGGAGGGACTGGCTACTGCTCAGCTCAGCACAGAAGAAACAGATCAGGGATTAGCGCTGAGAAGCCGCCAAGCCTGGGTCAGCAGTGGAACTTCACGAGTCAGACACATTACAAAATAAAATTGATTTTCCTTCAATTGGGAAAAATGTCATCTCAAGAAAAAAAATTTTTTCCCTTCAGAGAAGCAATAGAAACTAAACCAAAGCCTCTCAGCACTCCCTTCCTGTGAACTGATTTTGAGGTGTCAGAGGCACCTTGGTTGGCACTTATACATGTGGCCTGGATAGAGAGTCAGTACCGCACACTGAGGTGATAACATGCAATCCAGCTGGCACATCAGCCAGTCCCTCTGAGACCTCCTCTTACACATGTATCCTCTGCCCTTCCCACAGAAGCACCACTGAGCCGTCTGCCCAGAAGGTGGGTGCAGAGGGCCCGGCTGAAGATGGGAAAATGAAAGGCATGTGTGAAGGATGAGAAATGAAGAGGCAAGAGGACCAATGAAAGGACAGGTGCCAAGAGATGCCCAGGTATCCTCATAAAGGCCTATGGATGTGGCTTATGTGCTGACCTGGGTGCCCCTGGGGGCAGCACTCTATTGGCTGCAAGTGTATAAGCTATTGAACCAACTCATGCCCCAGAGCTGTGATCACAAGGCCCCCGCTTTCTCCTTTAGGTCTTAGAAAGTTAGAGGTGGTAGTGAAGGGGTGGAGAAGTAGATGTAGATTATCAGCCCCCTGGGTGTTCCTTAGAGACAGAGCTTGGGAGGAAGATGATTGTTTGGATTCATGGGAGAAGTCCAGATAATGATCAATTGGATGCAGTCCATAAGGAAAGACAGCATGAGGGCTCACTGAGCAGGGACTGGAGAAACGGATACTTGAGCTGGAACCTTGAGAACAATTAGCTGGAGCTGGTGGGGAAAGAGAAGATGCTACATGGATGCTAAGTCTATGCCACTGGGAACTGCCAGGAATGAAGCTGGAGGTTTGGGATAACCATTTCCATGGGATATCTCATCATGAGCCAGCCCAGGGCTCAGACCATACTCTGCAGGTAAGACCCCCACAGAGCCGCTGCCTGCCAACCCCTTCCCTTCTGGAGAAGGAAACTTGGAGTACAGGAAACAGCTGAGCTGGCTGGAGAAATGGACAAGGAGAAACAGGCTGTGGCCTCTTCGTTCTTCTGGAACCTTCCAGACTCCATTGCTAAAATTCTATTTTAAGACCTTAAGTATGCATTTGGGGATAAATTAAAATTTCTTCACAAAGAAAAGACTGAAAGCATCCCAGCTGTGTAGGGGCCTGGTAGCCAGAAGGAGCAATTACTGTGGGCGCTATTATCAGCTCTGAACAGCAGATTTCTGGGGACTTGGGGACATGGGGCGTCCCCATTCTGCAGGGCAGGTTTGTCTTCCATGCATCCAATCAAGCTTACCAGAAGCCCTTGAAAGTTCGCTTTAAGAGCTAACTTTAAATACGTCAGTGAGTGTGAGATGCTAAGAAAGAAAAAGTAATGGTTTGACAGAGGCTGGAGCCATAGTACAGTGGGTGGGGCACATTCGAGGCAAGCCCCTACCCATGATGGACCTGAGTTCAAACCTCAGCAACCCATATGGTTCCCTGAGACTGCCAGGAGTGATTCCTGTGCAAAAGCCAAAAAAAAAAAAAAATAAAGAAAAATGGGTTTTAAGAAATGTGAATATGGGTAACAGAAAGGAATATTACAGTTTGCAATATTGAGAAGCTGAGGGACCATCAGTCCCTGCAGGGGGAGCACCATCCTGGGGGAGGCTCAAAGTATGGTTTTTCGATAGAACTCTATTGCCATGCATACGCATTTCCCTGTAAGCCAAAGAGAAGATGGATGCCAAGGGTCTGGTGGTAACTGGAAGACTGCTCAGAGAGAGCACTCCTTGTTTATGGAGACTCACACCCACATTTTGTGAAGGAAAGAATTAAAGTTGGATTGGAAAAGGGATGATTTAATCTTTGGGTTTTATCCAGGAGGTATTTTAAATGCTGTTCTTCATAATAAAAACACTCTCCACCAGGTACTACTAAGCACTCAGAGGCCTTATGGTCACTCTGCCCAGGAAGAGTGGGTGAGGTGGGGTTTTCTGACTCAATCCTTCTCTTCCACAATAACCAGAGCAGCATCAGCAAGACCCTCTCCAAGTTCTCTGTGACCAGGAGAAGGTGCCCATGTCTAAGGATCAGAGTCACCAATCTGAGCATTTCAATCATCTTCTAAGGTCAGTGCCCCAGAAGAGTATAAATTCTCTTCATATGACCTTCACAATGTCCTTCACACAGTCTGTGACAGTGTCATTCAGGCTCTTTCAAAAAACTTCTCATTTCATCTACACCTCTGCCCTGAGTAGGGCCCCAGGGCCCAGCCTCCAGAGAAGCCCACCACTTTTTCTTCCAGCATCCATCCCACTCTGTCTTTCTCAGAAGCTGGTTCCTTATTTCACAGCTTTGATCAGAAAGTCAATGATTGTCCATTGTTTGAAATGACAAAGATAGGATATTGTTCAAAGATGGAATGGAGCTATGTGGCAGAAATCAAAGAGTGATCCTTGTGAAGAAGGAACTAGCAATGCTCCTTCTAAGGCATCTAGAAAGAAGAGGTTGTTGGGAGGATGACAGAAGGTGATGATTATATGTGGGAAATCAGAAAGTTACTCTGTATTTTGTAGGAGACCAGGCACATATCTTCCCACTCTCTCACCCCAAAAAGGAACCAATCCCCACCCCAAGATCTCTTGTAATACCAATATAAAACATAGCTTTAAAAATGGCAATGTTTTCCTGGTAGTAATAGAAAATGTGTATGAATAAAAAGTAAGATGTTCCTGGACAGGAAATTTAGTAAGGATGTCTTTGATCCCGTATATGTCATTCTAATCAAAATTCTAACTAGTCTCATTTTTATAATTTAAAAATGTATTACAGAATTAAAACAAAAGATTATATTATAAAAGTGCATTCTAAAAAGTTATGCACTTATAAACACTTTTTATAAATGCGCTGGCCAGAGTACAGTAAGTAAGGTGCTTGCATTGCACAAGGCTGACCCAAGATCTAATACTGGCAACCCAAGTCCTGCCAAGGTGATCTCTGAGCACAGAACCAGGAGTAAGCTCTGAGCACAGCTGAGTGTTGTCTCAAACCAAGCAAAACAAAACAAAACTGCTATACAAACCTTCCTTGACATACAATGAGATTATATCCTTATAAACGTCACTGTAAGCTACAAATAATATAAGTAAAAAATGCATATAATACACCTAACCTACCCAAACCTACATACCCTTGCAAAATCTACTATAGACTCAGAGCACTTACATGAATATCCCATTGGGTAAAATCATTTAACACAAACCCTATTTTATAAAAGTATTAGATAGCATATGACTTATTGAGTACTATGTTGGATGTTTTTGAAGGTGGCTTGAGCCTTCAAAAATTACCCAGGGTTTACTCAGGGTGATACCCAGGGGTTCTTCATACCTCTATACTCAGGAATCTCTCCTGACAGTACTTGGGGAATCATATGGGATTCTGGGGATCAAACCAGGGTCGACTGTGTATAAATGCCTTATGCACACTACTATTGCTTTGGCCCCTAAGTACTATATTGAAAATAAAAAACAGAAGCCTTAACTTGAAATTTAAAGTATGGTTTCTACTAAATACATATCACTTTCATCCCATTTTAGAATTAAAAGAGTTTAAGCTTGAAACTGGTGTAATTAAAATGAGGACACTGGTACTAGAATTGCTATGTTGACAGAATGATAATACAGAAAAATCTATGAATACAGCAGTCCTGGGATTCCAACAAGGATACCGAAATTAATGTCCACGACCATGGTCCTCCCGTTGTTCATCCATTTTTGCTCGAGCGGACCCAGTAACATCTCCATTGTGAACTTGTTACTGTTTTTGGCATATTGAATACGTCACGGATAGCTTGCTAGGCTTTGCCATGCGGGCGAGATACTCTCTGTAGCTTGCCGGGCTCTCCAAGAGGGGCAGAGAAATCGAACTCGGGTTGGCCATTTTGGCTGCATGCAAGGCAAATGCCCTACCCACTGTGCTATTGCTCCAGCCTGAGATTAATGTGTCAGAATCCAAATAAAAAAATCTCTTATTTCTATATAAAATAAGACAGAGCTGAAGAGTATGGCAGTTAATGTCATGCTGCAGGATTAGCAGACATGTCCTCCTTCGGAAGGAGGAGGATGAGGTGCACAGGCTTGTGTGGGAGTGATGAGGCCACATGGCCCATCCCACGAGACCTCTTGCTGTCTGGTGGCTATCTCCACCTTCGATGACTAGTCTCAAGAAACTATCAGTGATGGTCTATGAAATCAAACCTTAAGCAGATGCAGAGAGGATGAGAAGGAAGAACCCTTTCCAGGAGGATTACCAAAAAATAGGTCCCAGGAGAGGGCTAGGATGTTCCTCACAACAAGGGTCAGTACTGAGATAAAAATTAGGGAATTTGTGTCACTGTGATAAAGTGTCTGTCAACCACACTTCCACCATCTTCCTCAGTAAGAACTATCGGGGAATAAAGGAAGTTGGAAAGAGGTTCCATGTGGGCCCTGGCTCCAGTACAGAAACTGGGGTTGGCTGGGTGTGTCAATATGAACAACTGTCTCTGAGGTGAGAGAGTTGCCACAGCTACAGAAAGGGAGGAAGATTAGCCAAACCTTACAGAGCCCTCTGAGCAGGCTCTGAAAGTCCCAAATATGTCCATAAGTGTTCAGAGGAAAAGAGGAGCTTGCTTCTTAGTGGAGGAGAGGGGGATTTAGAGAAGAAGCCAAAGTCTTATTTTTCTTCCAGAAAGTCTAGTGAAGCTGGAC